GACCTCGTGCAGCCCTTTTAGTAGCAAGGCCTCAGGATAAAGGGTGAACACACGGGATGGGGTCTGTGACAAGGCTGGTGACAGGACTGGAGATATTTCCCTCAGGATTTGGCTCTGTGGTTTGTAAAACTCCACCTTGTCTCTACCTTGCAAAAGCTAGCAAGAGAAGGAGGTTCTGAACACTCTGTGCCAGAGCCACAAAGGTGGAAGTTACGCATCCCTGAGGTCTGCCTTGTGTCAACGGAAACAAAGAAACCTCCAAGGGGCGACTTCGGAGAAGACGGCTGGACCAGTGGGAATGTCCCTAGCTGGAGAACGCGTGCATTTTTGCTGAGCTTTTTATTGTGGAAAGGAACATCCCTCATCTTGAGGACTACAATAAGCCCTCCTACTCCATCATCAGCTTCAACAATTATCAACCCGTGTCCCATTTCCTCCAACCATCCATTTCCTCAACAGATGACTTCATTCAGAAATATTTTAAAACGTTATCTCCAAAATACAAGTCCTCTCTTTAATAACACATATACTTTGTTTTAATAAAAGAGACAAATCTTTCTGAAAAGTCATTTAGCAGTATTTGTTAAAATAATTTGTTGCAAAATAAAAATGTTAACAAGGGGTTAAATAACAATGTCTGCATTTCTATAGAATGAAAACTATGCTGTGTTTTAATGTCCCTTGAGAAAATGAGTTTCAAGATATAGAAAACTGCCTGTGGTATAAAATATTAAGTAAAAAGGGGTTACAAAACAGTATAAGCAGGATGGCCTTTATGAAACTGTAATACACACAACATACACGCACAGGAAAGAAACTCGAAGAAAATATAACAAAATTCCAAGTGCCTTTCTGGGTAATTTTAATTTTCTCACAGTGCTTTTCTGAATGTTCCATGAACAATGAGCATGTGTGGCAATCATAAAAACATTAAAAAATATATATATATGTGTATATATATATATATATATAGCAGTGGCTGGGGCTTCCCAAAGGGCACTTGTGTCATCCCAGGACTTTTCATTGGTGAATGACTGCATGCACTTCCTTAGCCCACAGCATCCCCTCAGGGAGCCCCTCGGTTTCTTTCCCAGGCTTCTTCCTAGGAAGAACCTAGGTTTCTTTCCTAGGTTTAGGGGCAGTCTTCAGAGCCAGTCCCTTTTCCCGCCATTAAATCCTAGCTGGCCTCCATTTGGCTCCAGATGGTGGGAGAACCAGTTACCTCCCCTCCCAGCTTCCCTGGGACGAGTCCCTTTTAGCACCCATGGACCTGGGCCAGCAGCTTTTGGATTTAATGTATTTATTGGGCAATGACTTTCACACAATCTTCTCTCTCTGTCATCTGAAATTTAGCCTGACTGCAATGTCTTCTCTGGCCAATAGGTGGTGCTGCGTAACACAAAAGCACTTTTGTCCCGCGGTTCTGAGGCTAGATTTCAGGGATCCTTACAATAATTGCTGGAGAGTGTGTGCTGATATAGCATCACCACATAAGGGCAGGGGGACAAATCTGTCACCTGCCAGTATCACTATCATCACCGGACAAAAATAGCCATTTCAATACCAAAAATGCAGGAAGACAAAAATCTCAGAACAAAGGCAGACTTTGAACTTGAATACCTTTTAAGAAAAACTGTTATATGGTTCATATTCTTACCATTTCAACTCAGACCAAAACTTGACCCGAGACCACCACTGGCTCTGGCTTGGCCTTTGGGAACCCCTGCTCTAGTCAAGAATTCCAGAGTTGGAGGTCGTTCCATTCCCCAAGGTCAAATTTCTGTAAAATTTATTTGCTTCAAATTAAGAACACATTTGTGTTCCCAGTGTGCAGTGAGACACATCTACTAGATCTTTCCTCCACCCATGGTTAAAGTGGAGCAGTGAGCCACTTTTAAGCAGAGCTCTCTTTTTAAAAACATAGCTCTGCTTATTCTCTACTGTCTCCCCTCATCTACATGGTCAAAAGGCCTCCGGGTATCACACCAGCGGCTGCATGATCCAGGACTGCCTCACTCCACCAGAATCAGGATCACATAAAAGCTACCTCCAACTCATCCCAAATACACAACCAAAGGATGGCCTCCAGCCTTACCAAACTTGAGCATTTACACAAGTCCCTCCACCTGCAATATTTGCACGCCCCCTCACCTTCCTGACATACGCCTATTCTTCCCCATCAAGTCAGCACAAGGTCACCTACTCCAGGGAGCCACCTCCTTTGCTCCCAAGGCATGGGGCACATTATGATCTTAGAGCACTTATCACCTTGCTATAATGTCACAGTCCTGTGGACAGACTGTTCAGCTTGTATTCCCTCTTCAGGGCTTGACTCAGTAAGATACCCAGGGAATTTTTGCTGATTTATTGATTCTCCTTGTTGGCAAACGAACCTGGGCCAGCTTTTTCAACATCTTCCTTTAAGATCTTTTCAACAAACCCAGGAGATGCTCGTAAGAACTGGCAGGCTGGTTAGAAGTGAGAAAAACAGCAGGAAGCCCCTAGGATTTAGGGGCTATGTATCTGGCAAGAAAAGTACATGGGGTTTCCCAATCCTCTGAGGAGCCCCCAGATCCTTTGGTGTCACCCTTGCAAAATATCTAAAATGTACTAGCTCTGCCATCATTTACCAAAAAACAGCATTTAAAAAAAATGGGAGTTGAAAATGTCCATGATCAGGGCATCTGGGTGGCTTGGTCGGTTAAGCGTCCGACTTCGGCTCAGGTCATGATCTCACGGTCCATGAGTTCGAGCCCCACGTCGGGCTCTGTGCTGACAGCTCAGAGCCTGGAGCCTGTTTCAGATTCTGTGTCTCCCTCTCTCTCTGCCCCTCCCCTGTTCATTCTCTGTCTCTCTCTGTCTCAAAAATAAATAAACGTTAAAAAAAAAATTAAAAAAAAATGTCCATGATCTATAAAAAAGGAATGACTTTATAGCAAAAGAAAACTATTTCAAAAAAATAAAGTGAAATTAAGGGGAAATGGGAAGAGAAAACAATTGCACGCAAAGAGATGTGGTCAGTGTGTAATGTAAGCTATTGATTGATAGTAGCAACATGAAAAAATAAAACGTAGAATGATTATAGTTTATTGGGTACGTATCATGGCCCATGCACTAGGCAAAATACTTTACCTGTGCAATCTCATTTAATCCACACCACCATTCTAAAAAGCAAGGATTACTGTCCCCCAGATTATAGGCTGAGAAAGGTTAAGTAACTTCTCCAAGATCAAACAGAACTGAGAATGGAATCCAGGTCTAACAGCAAAGTCCAAAGTTAACCATACTAATGTTTTCTTTTGGGTGATATATTTTAAATATTTTTATTTTTAAAAAAATGCTTATTTTGAGACAGAGTGCATGCTGAGGAGGGGCAGAGAGAGAGGGAGAGAGAGAGAATCCCAAGCAGGTTCCATGCTGTCAGCTGTCCGTGCAGAGCCCAATATGGGGCTCAATCTCACGAACTGCGTGATCATGACCTGAACTGAAATCAAGAGTCAGAAGCTTAACTGAGCCACCCAGGCACCTCTTGACTAAATATTTTTAAATTGCAGTAAAATATAATTGAATTCTTAACTTAGTACACAGGGTATTCAGAACATGTCTGGATCTGAAGGCCCAGACCTCCCAGGCCTGAGGGCCCACCAAGCAGTCCAGCCTGGAACAGCAAACATATAGACAGCACCCAGGCCCATCCTAAATGGCCTTTGTGTTGTTTTTAATAAACTAAACCATCAGCTTCCCCTCTCATGATTTAGCTGTCTTCCTAAAGTTCAGATCACATGGTAAAGCTCAAAGAGCTAATTCCCTTCATCCAGTCATTTCCTAAGAACCAGTAACAGACTAATCACTTACTTTGTAGAATGGGCCAAGGGTGCCTGGGTGGCTCAGTTAAGTATCTGACTTCTGCTCAGGTCATGATCTCGCGGTTTGTGAGTTTGAGCCCCACGTCAGGCTCTGTGCTGACAGCTCAGAGCCTGGAGCCTCCTTCGGATTCTGTGTCTCCCTCTCCTTCTGCCCCTCCCCTGCTCATGCTCTCTCTCTCTCTCTCTCAAAAATAAGCAAACATTAAAAAAAAAAAAAAAATTTAAATGGGCCAAGGGTATTAATAGGCAGCTGACAGAAAAGGAAATATAAATGGCCCAAATCACTTTTTATAATGTTTATTCACCCATTGGGGAAATGCAAAAACTACAGAAACCCATTTCACTGGCCAAAATCAGAAAGCTCTGGGACACATGGAGAGAGCTCTCACACGCTGGTGGCTGTGGCTGCTGGAATGAGCTCCTCCGTGGAGAGCAATTCAGCAACACCCATCACTACTGCACATACTCTTGGACTCAGGAGTTCCACTCCTGGGAACTCATCCTTCAGACTGACCTGCAGGTGCAAAATAATCCATATACGCCATTTATTGCATCAACGGTTATAATTGCAAAGGACTGGAAACAGCCCAAGGGGCCTGGTTAAGCAGACTATGGTACATCCACACACCCAGGCACCCCTGAACAAGAATGGGGACACTCTTTCAGTATGGCCATGGAACCCTTCAGAATGTACTGTGAAAAAAACCAGACAAGAAGGCAGCCTCTGGGGAGGGGAGGTGGCGGCTGGGGCAGTAGACTTCACTGAGGACTCTTCAACACCTTTTGAATTTTGAACCATATGAAATATTCAGAAAAACAAAATACATATTGAAGCTTTCCTCCATTATTAAAGGTTCTGGCTTAGCTCTAACTAGGTGAGTTATCGTACATGCTCTCTCCTGCAGTATATATGGCCTTATAGAACTCTCGAGCAAAACCATGGAGACAGAGTCAGTGACTACATCAGCAGGGGCTCTGCCCCTCTGCCAGGGTCACCCGGGGCCCGCACTTCCTCCCTCTGTCCACAGGTGGCACCAGGATGACTGCCACCCTGGACAGATGGTGGTGGCCTGGGAAGCCCCGCGGCCTCAGGCTGCTGACCAAGAGTCAAAGAAACAGGCAGTCACAAGTAAGTAACATAAAATAGAAACTAACTTTATTTCTCTGGAAGAAGCAGGTATCCATAGCTGGGGCAGCAACTTTGGCGACACAGGCTGGTAGGAAAACACAGAACAGCACAGGGGAGGAGCTGGGTCAAAGAGGAAGCACTGGTATCCCTCCAGGGCAGCTGCCCCCTTGGTCTCCTTCCAACCCTGGGGCCTTGGGCCCTGGTCCCTGCCAGAGAACAATCTGGCACCCTCGCTCTGCTTCCTGAGCCACTCAGGGCTATTTCCAGGCACAAGATCCTAAGACCAGCCTAGTCCCATAACATATCCATGGTGAGGCCACAAGTCACATTCTCTCCGACACCCTAACTGCCCTCCAGGGGATCCCTGGAGAAGGGCCCTACCCTGGGAGGGCTTGCTGGGTGCTGGTCCACCTTTCTGTGTGGCCAACACATCCTCCCTGCATGAGTCAAGCCCTGCTTCCCCACTGTCAGAGCATGGAAACACACTCCGGCCACAGGCCCAACCAGCGGCTGGAGCCAGAAGCAGGTCAGCTGCAGGGCCTGCTGAGGCGGCCACCAGGCCTGCCTTCGTGGGGTTCCTTCCCACCCCTTGGCTAAGGGCACCAAGAGCTGATCCAAAGTTGCAGGGACAGCACTGGGTGAGGGAGGGACAGCAAGGCGGGGCTCCCAGTCTCCCGCTGCCTTGGCTTTGCTCTGCCACGGCAAGTGGCAGCAGGTCCTCCAGGCCTGGGCAGGTCTTCTCCCCACCCTTGTCAGATGGACAGGCTCAAGTGATTCCTTCAGGGCAGACCCTCTGGCTCTTCAGACATCTCAGCGCCTAAAGGATGGGAAACAAAGAGAAAGCCCCTCTATCAATACAGGGGCTGATTCAACAGAGTGTCTAGAGTGCGTGGGCATAAGAGGGCCTCTTGATGGTGGGCTAATCGGTTGAAAAGTCAGCAATGATTTTGGAACTTATCATCCTGGGATGCCTTTTTCTCTTTAATTAAAAAAAAAGAGAGAACAGCACTACTGAGGATTAGACTATCAGAGGGCAATAGGCACGGTAAAGCCTACGTTTCTTTGGATGCAAATTAGTAAGAATCACCACAAGTTAACAGCTGACACTCGGTGATGGTGTCCCATGTGCCACACTTGCTGTGTGGTTCGACAGATGCATCCCTCGTTTCTTCTAGTCATTTCTATGAGGTAGATACTGTCATTTGTACAGATTTTTTCCCCCCTAGGTTATCTCTACTGCCAATGTGGAGCTAAAACTCACAACCCCGAGATCGTACTCTCTACTGAGCCAGCCGGGCCCTCGTTAGTACACGTTTTACAGATGAGGATGGAGAGGTCGGGAAACATGCCCAAGCGGACTCCGTCCCTGAGCAGAAGGCTGGGCTCTAATTGCAGCTATCTGCTACCAGGGCCCACCAGCTCCAAAACCCCCCACCCACCAGCGTCCCTCCGAGGACAATGCTGGGATCTACCCATAGCTCTACCTCCGACTTGATACAATTCTCATTTATGATGTATATATTTACATTTATACTACAGATCATTTGTATCATTTATTACATGTCCACATATACATTTTTAACAGGAAAGTAATGGGATTACTTTTGGTTAAGCGTTCCATTAAAATGGCATTAAAACTTTAAACTGAAATACGAAATGGAGAGGTGAGAAATATATTGAAATCACTGAGCCCTAAACTGCTGCTCCCTGACGCAGGTTCAAGGGTGCTGTGTGGGGTTAGGAAGCAAGCCTCCACAAGGGGAGAGGCTCCAGTGCCCTCTCTTTACTTATTAGTTCTTTTGCACCAAGTGGCTACAAAGTCTAAATGCACTGAGGAGAAACTGTTTTCACCCAGAACTGCCTGCATCCCAGGGTGGGGGCTGCCTTCCCTCCTCCCAGCTGGGCAGCCCTGTGTCTCCTGGCCCTGCGAGGCCCTCGAGGCGTGGGGCTCTCTTCTAGCGGGGTATGCTCCCCGAGGGGCTCACTCACTTGTGGTGGGCGGGGCCGCAGGAGCCCAGGAGGTGGCAGCCTGCCTGCTCGAGGTTCCAGTCACACATCTCCAGCACCTTGTGGCACTCGCTTCGCGGCCGCAGACCCAACCCAAAGAGCTGCTCCACCTGAGGAGCAGAGGGTGGTGCCATGGGACACACTGGGGCTGAAGGGTAGGGGTAGGGGCAGAGGAGAGCCAGAGGCAGGATGGTAGGGAGGGGCAAAAGGAGGTGAGAGCGGCAGAACCAGTCTTCAGGGTCCCTGAAAGCCAGAGTGGGCAGGAGGTGGTGGTACCTTCAGATACTGGGCAGCCCTCTGCACGCTCCAGCTGTGACTCTGCAGGGCCGCCTGGCACTCCTCTGTGGTCACCCCATGCACCATGGCCTGCAGCTGGGCACACCCACCCACCTACCCATCAGCACCACTTGGGCCCATTCCTCCCGGGCCCTTGGGCCCCTGCCCCTCCAACCAGCGGCCAGGCCCGGTACTCACCATCTGGATCTTGTCTGTCGGTCGTCCAGCCTCTGGCCCGTCCCCAGGGCAGCCCCTCTGTGGCAGCCGTGCAGTGGCCCTCAGGGCTGGTGGCCGGACCCCTGGGTTACTGTTGTTGGTGGAGAAGTTGGCCTTGGGGTCTGGGGCAGCCTGGGGCATTGGTCGAACAGTGGCAGTGGGGGCGGCAGGGGCTGGGGTGCTGGGTGGGGGCAGCAGCAGGGGCACAGGCAAGGGGGCCGGCTCTTCAGGGCTTTGGGCCTCACGCAGGAAGCGCTGGTAGCGTTCCAGGTAGGGTGGGCGCTCGGGCAACAGGTAATAGTGGGTGTTGCTGACCTTCTTGCCATCACGGACGATGGGTAGGATGCAGGGACCAGCCCGTGGGCCGGGTGCCTGGATCACTTGTGGTGTAGCATACTTGGGGTCTGAGGCAAAGCTCTGGGTGGTGGGCATGGTCTTCCCAGGTGAGCTTGAGAGCCGGGGTGGCAGTGGGGAGCTTACAGGTGGTACCAGGGGGCTAGGGGTCCTCGAGCCTTGAGGGGACAGGGGCTCCCGGGGAGGCACCCGGGGAGGGGAGGCAGGTCCAGGCCACCGCCCTATCTCCTCCTCACCTGAGGGGGCTGGAGACAGCTCACCACGTGGGCGAGTGGGCCTCGGGGGGATGGGCACCCGGGGGGGCACCTGGGGCTTGTCCTCACCCGCTGGGACTGGGTCAGGTGAAGGGACCAGGGAGCCAGCCGGGACCCGCAGCTGCCGCATGCACTCCTGCTGCAGCGCCTGGAAGATCTGCGCGGTCTGGGCCGAGCTGGGCGGCTTGCTCCCACCCTGGGGTGGGAGGAACAGATTGTCCTCCAGGGGAGGGAGGAGCTGCGCCTGCTCAGGCACAAAGGCATAATTGGTTTCACCCTGGCTGGGCCCAGCACAGACCCCTGCAGCCACCAGGGTGCTGTTGATGGAGCAGACTTCAAAGTCGTCCTCATCCTGGGCCACATCGTCGTAGGCAGGAGGCGGGGGCAGCGGGCGGGCATCCCAGTCCACCACAGGTGTGGGATGCAGGGGCCGGGGCAGTGCCCGAGTGGGGCTCTGCGGTGGAGTCTTGTCCAGCAAGGAGCAGGCATCCATGGCCAGCTGTGCCAGTGAGGGTGCACAGGGCCGGGGGGCGGGGACGACAGGCTCCTCGCCGAAGTCAATGAGTGTGACCTCGCTCCCGCCGCCACGCCCTGCCTTGGTGCCCGGCACCCGAGCTGAGGGCTTCGCCAGCCACAGCCCACGGGTCAGGCCTGGTTTCCGGAGGCCCAGCCTCTTGAAGTCGCTGGACAGAGGGTCCTGGTCCTCACTCACTGGGTCGTAGGTTGGCTCTAGGATAGAGAGGGAGATCCTAACGAGAAGGCAGTGTCAGGGGGATGGGAAGAAAGACAAGTGTCTTCCACCAACTCCCCACTCCTAATGCCCCCAGAGGTTAGCCCTCAGCTGCCAAAATTCTCAAGGCACACCAACCCTATTCACACGGGAGGACAGGACCTGCTCTGGACGCCATGAGCTCTCCACACAGACTAATGAGCCCCTGCCTCCATCTCAGCTAGAGCAAGCAACACCCCACACCTGCCTGCCTAATACCCCAACACACAAGACCCCAGGTATCCCGGGCTCCTGGGCCTGGTTGGTAATCCCTTGTCCCCACTCCGTTATGGCACACAGCACACCACTAGTGCAGGCAGTGGGCTATGGGCAATCCTCCACCATTAAAGGCAACAGGAGCTGTCCTTGGAAGAGCACAGAGCTCCTGACTAGCCACCACGAAAGCCCAGATACAGCCTCTGCAGGCCCCAAAGGGAGTGGAGCAGGGCCAGGTGACGGTGGAGTGGGGGGACCAGGACCACACAATTGCTCCAGGAGCCCAGGTGTTTGCAAGGCGGGGGAGAGGCAGGCATGCTGGGCCAGGTCAGCGGCACGAGCTCACAGCACACATCCCACCTCCCCTCCCGCCCGGCCAGCCCACCAGGGCTCTGTACCTTTCAGAAGGAGAGGAGGAATGAGAGGAGAGAGGGGGCAGGGGCAGGGGCCAAGGCATCGAGAGCAGCCCCACTTACTCTGAGCGAAGATGGCAGGCTGAGGTGGGCGAGGTGGAGGCTCCCCTGCAAGAAAGGCCATGCGGAGAGTAGAAGGGACAGAGCGGGAGAGACAGAGGACGGGGGAGGGAAGACAGCCAGACAAGAGGGCAGAGTGTGGAGAGAGACAGAGAGAGGGCAGTGAATAGGAGTGAGTGGACATACACACCCAAGAGCAATGGGAAGCAATGGGGTGGCAGGATGGGGAAAAACGGGTTCCGGAACAACAGGCACAGGATCCGGGAGATGGATGAGGCTCCTGGCCAACATGAAGCCCGTGGGGTGGTTTTGGCTTGGGAGAGGACAGCAGGATTAGGCGGGGGGTGAGGAAAGCCAGGATCTGAGCACAGTGGGAAGGAGGGAGGAGGGAAGCTGAGGTGGGCAGGCCAACACAGGACAGCCGAGGATGCCCACCTCGGCGGATACAGCTGCTTCTCATCTTCCACCCCACACCCAGCCGGAGCCGGGTCACAGCTGTCCCCCGGCAGCCCTGGCCCAACTGTCCCAGAGCCAGAACAGCCAGCTCAGAGTGCCTGCACAAGACAGTGCCTTTTCCTGGGCAGCTGATGAACTAGGGGGCACTGGGGAGCCAGGCTCTTACTTTTCACCCTTCCTAGATGTTGGGTGGGTCGGGAGGTGCTCAGTTCCACGCTCAGCAGGTCAGGAGGGTCCATGGGGTTTCCCAGGTACAGTCTGTGGGGAGAGAACCGGGTCAGACGGTGGGGGCTGGGGGAAGGGTGTGAAGTGGTGACGGTCGTGGGGAACCTCAGGAGGAGATGCCCGGGGTCAGGCAGAGAACAAAACCCTGAGTGCATGTAGGGGACCATCTTGTCCAAGCCCTGCACAGACTTGGGTCTGGAGCACAGGACGTGCGATTCCCTGAAGACCGTACTCAGGGAGGGTGTCATGGAGAGAGGGCAAAGACAGAACTGACTGCAGGGTGAAAGGCTTGTACTGAAGGGGCTCCAACAATACCCTACAAAAGCAGAGCTGGCCCTCCATGACCGCCATGGCACCCCAACCCACGTCTAGCAGCCACCTGCTGGCACACTCTCTTCTGTCCTGCCGGGCCCGCTCCCCTGTCGGGGTCCGTAGGAGGCACCCTTCTGCCCCGCTGCCAGGTGGGAGAGGGGCTGGGCCACTTGCCTTGCTCCCGATTCACCCTCTCAAACCCTGTGCTGACTGTCAGGCCTTGGGACTTAGTCACTGAGCTGATGAAAGCCTGGAAGAATGGGGCTGGGCTGGCCGCAGCACGCCAGGAGCAGGGCAGAGGGTGCCGGGCCACCTTCTGGAGGGCGTCTACACACCTCGCCCCAATTCCCACAGGCCCGTGCTGGCTCACACCAGCTGCTCTCCCAGGGCTTCGGGTTCTGGTGTGTGGGGGCAAGAGGGCAGGCCTGCTTCACTGTGCCTCTCAGGGCAGAACCGAATGTCAGGAGAAGTCAGAGGAGAAAGGGCTGCCTCAAAGCCTCCTGGGGCCAGCAGAGAGGCATGAAGCCTGGGCTGAGGAGCTGCCAGGTGGCTCGCTGGGGTAGGGCACCCAGGAAGTGACTAATTCTTCTCCTCTGTGTCCTCCGCAGAGGACAGGTCCCCAGTGACCTCATCCTTTCACTTAAAGGAGACTGAACCCCCTGCCAGGTAGAGAGTGAGCATGCAGGGGCGGGGGGTGTTGCCAAACCTTCCTCCTGGGCTTTCCCCACAGGGAGCTCTTTCTCTGGGCCCCCAGCTCACCCCCTGGCACCTGTGCACACCCCAGGGCTTAACCCAGCAGGCTCCATCTCCCAGACTCTACACAAACACTAGGGGGCATGACAGAAACCCTCCTGCTGAACTCATTCCAGAGGCTGTTCTCAAGTCCATGTTCCTAAGGTTGGTGTTCTGGGGGGGGGTTCCACCAAACAGAAGTGTGCCTCTATCCTCTGAAGCTCCTAACCTCAGTTCTGCCTACAGGGAACAGCTTTCAGGCAATAAGAGACCCTCTGCCCTATTGTTGTGACAAGGACCTTGGCAGTGAGAGCCTGCATGCCCAGGGAGGAGCTGCTGACTCTGGAGCCACAAGTGACCCCCACCCCCACAAATGCACTCACTCATCAATCTTGTCAGGGAAGCCCCAGCAGTGGCGGGGGTCACTGTCGCCATGTCCCGTGTGGATGAAGCTATTCTGCAGGGGTTGGCTGATGTCCTGGGCTGAAAGGCCAGCCACGGAGGTCACCACGTTGCGAGGAAAGGGTCCCACACACAGTGTCCGGGTGTTCTGTCCACGCCACCAGTAATTCTCAGCCCTGCTCAACAGAGATGACATGGTGAACACCAGGGTGTGTGAGGTGGCCCCAGGAAGTGGGACCCTTTTCATTCCAAGCTCTCTCCAGTCAGAATATATCTGACTATCTTGGCAGGAGGGGACCCAAGGGCTATGGCTCTGAGACCAGGCTGGTCTGTCATCAGCCTGCCTGCCCCGCGACCTGTCACTCTCCCAGTACAGGGCCTGTCTGTTTATACACACCTTACCCTAAGACACTTAGGTGGGTCAGACAACCTTTTCCGACAGTTTACAAATAAGCAGATAGGTTACAAATAAGTGACAGGACTTGCCTACAGTTCCCAGACAGATCATAGCAGACTCAGGATTCAAATTTGGCTGTTAGTCTCCAGCTACCACCCTTCCTATAAATCTGCCTTGCCTCCCTCCTCCCTGGCAAGGCCTGTACCCCTACCCTCTGGCCACCTGACCTTGCTATTCAGCCCAGTTCCCGGGCATCCTGAGCTGCAGGGGCCAAGGGAACACCATGGCCTTAGCACTGGGCTTGGAGCCAAGCCCCCCAACCACACTCTGTCTCCTGCATGCAGCCCCTTGTGAATTTGGAAGCACTGCAAGCAACCCACGCCTTCCCATCACCAGTTTTTGTATCTCCAGTGTCTTCCACCACCTCTAGGCAGGGCTGTGGGACCTGTGCCCTTAACCCCGGTCATCTCCTGGGGAGTTCTACTCTTGTCTTAAATAAGGGGTCTATAAGGGGACCCAGCCTCCCAGTGCGGCTGGACTGTGGGACCACCCCCCCCCCACTCTGATCTCAGACACAGAACCTCTACTGACGTAGCCTAAGCCTGAGCCTGGGGTGGGGGTTGGGGTAGGATGGTGCCCTCCTGCACACTTCAAGTGGCAGGATGCAGCTCCTTTGTCTGCCACTAGGATCGCTCACACCAGATGACATGGGCAGAATCTGAGCTAAGGCAGAGGTAGTGCAGCCTCATGCCGCTGTGGTGGACACATGCACACACCCAGTCAACACCCACCTGGGCAGCCAGGAGCATCAAGGTCTCCTCCAAACTGGAGCCAGACCACAGGGACCAAGGGCAGATGGAGGCTGAGCTCCTGGACCCTCCTCCATGAGGTGACATGGCCCGTTGGGGCAGCACGACCTCAATCAGCCTGCTCTGGAGATCACAAGTCAAACCCCATGAGCACAGCAGTGCTTGGGAAGCCAAGAGGTGGGGCGGCAGAGGGCTGGGAGCCCAGCCTCCCCATAAACAGGGCCGCTGACCAGCCTACCACCAGACACAGCAGCCCTGTGATTATACCCTGCCCTAGGGTGGGAAGGGCAGGAAAGGAAGCAAGAAGAGAGGACAACACCCAGGAAGGGACAAAGCCCATCGGAAAACAGCAGGGCTGTTCCGAGAAGAGAACGTCCCCTAGCACCCCAGTCCCAAGAACTGGCTGAGGTCGAGAGCCTCCCATGAAGCAGGGTGAAGAGGGATGCCTGACACCAGGGGACCCCCTGCTGCTCTCTGCCCACCCCCACCCCTGCACCCAACGGCTCCCTGGGTTCTGCGTACCCCTTTACAGACCTTCTAAACACCAACCCCAGGCTGGACATTGGACTCTGCTCTCCACACCTCTTCAGAGGTGCTCATTAACCTGGGTGAGAGAGGTAACCGAGGCAGAGAGATAGTTCAAAGTAGGATGGAAGCATGTCCAAGGCCAGTTCCACCCTGTGACCCTGTCTTCCCTGTGTCGACCTTGAGCAAGGCCAGACTGGCAGGTCACTCCCTCCACCCCCTTCCTTTCGCCAGCACAGCCGAACACACAGGGGCTCCTTTGGACCCACTTCTGAGAGTGAGAGATGCCAACCCACCTCCCTTTATTATAGGTATGGCCGAGGCAAGAGCCTCCAGGACTGCTGGGAGTCCCGACATCACTTCCCAAAAGATCTGTGCTACTAGGGGAGGGGAGCTGGAGGGCAGGGCAAGTGTAAGACAGACACCCTCGGAAGCAGCATCCTCTCGACAAGGCTCAAATGTAAGTCTTGAGATGGCCAATGCTATATCGTGCTGCCTACCTGTGCCCCTCTGAGAATCAGTAGGGCCGAAGTACCAGCAGCTCAGAGAGGCCGCCCTCCCCACCCTCCTGTACTGGCCACACCCGCTCCCCCTCCTTGAACAGGCCAGAGTCTCCATAGCAATGGGAGGGCTAGGCCTACCATGGGCAGACACTGCAGTGAGGACAGAAGTCCCTGGGGGAACAGGAGAAGGGGCCAGCACCTCCAGCACGAACTCTCTATTTCCTGATACCTGTCAGTATCCTGGGACAAGTACAAAGTGGAGTGGCACCTGGGAAGCCAAGGCCTGAGCTGAGAACAAGCCCTGTTCTATTTGGGACCAGCTTCTGGAAATCTCAGACCTCTGTCCCACTCCTGGTCTAAAGTAGTCCAGAAATGGCTGATAAATGTTGCTTGAATATTCTGCTCAAAACCCCACCCCACTCACTTCTCTCTGAGAGACCCAGGCAGCCCCTGGTTTTGGGAGACAGCCTAGGCCCTTGCATCCCCCTCCCCTACCTACCACTGGGAGCAGAGGCTCCAGGGACCAGGCCAGACCAGGCCAAGGCCCAGAAGATGGACTTCAAAACCTCTGTCTCCCTTCTCTAGATCTATAAAAATGGAACATGAAACAGCTGCCAGCCATCCTAATTTCCAAGTAAGAACCCATGGAAAAGACCCAAGTCATCATTTGTCCTTCCATCTAGACAGTACCTCACAGGCTCAGCAAAACATCTAGGTGTCCTGTCTCTGCCCACCGCCTGCTACCCCGAGAAACACTGAGCCTACAGAACCAATCAGAGCCAGGGACAAGGGGGCTCTCAGACTCCACTTGGAAACAAACACTGGCACAGCTTCCGCAAGAGGAGTCCAAGGCTGACAGATGAGCAGAAACAGAGCAGAGAGCCAGGCTAAGAGGAGACACAGAAACAGAGACCCACACGTACAAGCCCAGACCCAAAAAGACACACACGAACAGAGAGCCCCTCCACTAGGAGACATGGAGACAGAGTCAGCCAAACAAACATAGAGACATCTGGGCACTGAAAAAACAAGGGGGCAGAGTTAAAGCTCTGGTACCATCCGCATACAGGCCTACCCCCAAAGCCTCACCAGCTGTTGTGGCCTCCTGCCCCTCACCTCCCACCTCCTGAGCAGCTCCAGGAACCAAGAGCAGGCGCTGTGGTCCAAGTCGGCCGTGGCCCTGGAGGAGGAGCCCAGCAAGCCCACACTGGCAGGCAGCTGCGGAGCCAGCAGCCCAGGCCAACCGGAGGCTGCGACGCAAGGGCAGGGCAGGGCACGACCACAGTGCCTCCCAAGAGGAGCGGCTCCCCTGGGGCCCCACCTGTTGCCCGCCTAGCTCTGGTGGTAACCCAGGGTGCCAGCTCCAGAGACACACACCCCAGGAACACAAGAAGCAACTGAGTCACCCGCTGGGGACCACTGGGTCCCCACTGAGAGCAAGGGATGGGGGAGGTAAAGACCTGAGGGCTACGGTGCACAAGATGGGTCAGGTTCAAGTCCTCCTGCTCTTGTAGGTAGGAATGGATATAGGTCCAGACTTCTGAATTAACACCCTGCCATGCCCCTCTAGACAGGCCCTCACCCTAATCTTCCTATTTCTGGAATGCTCCCCAGTCCCTTGTCTGGCTCCTCAGCCCCAAACCCACAGACTGTCTTCCTTCCTGTCCCCTGAGCCTCTCTCCATCTAAAAGCTTTCTGCTTTCGCTTACCACCAACTCCCCAAACTTCACCCCCACAACTTGTTGGTTTGTCATTCATATTCTCAGACTGGGCCCAAAGGCTAGGCAAGCCCTGGCCTGGGGAAGAGGTGCTGGGGCCACAGTGAGGGTAGGTCATGTTCCTCCACAACCAGCTTGGGCTCCAGGGCCTACCCTATCACTCTGACCAAACGCAGAAGCTCTCCCCTCTCACCAACACCCCATGAGGCACAGACTGAATGAACTAAAGGCCCCAGACCCCCAGACCTGAAGCCCAGGTAGAAAGGGCTCTGTAGGAAGCGAACCCTGTCCTCATCCCTGCCTGGCTCTGAGTCAGAGGAGCTGGGAGCACAGGGGATTTCCTCTGCCTTGCTCCTCTTCCTGGTCCTCCATGCTTACCCCCTACCCCAAAGGCACCTCGACCCCGCCCTGCCCCAACCAGTTCCTCGGCAGCCCTGGGGATCAGATAACAGAGGGTGGGGTGAGTGGTGGGTAGGGCCTCCTTAGCAGAAGGGCTTGAAGGGGGGCTACAGGTAGGAGACATGACTCAGGAGATGCTGCCTGGAGGCAGAGACGTGTGTCCCAGGTGTCTGGGCAGGGGCGGGTAAGGAATGGGGACTGGGGACAAAGGAGCCCAGGTGGGCAGCCCAGCAGAAAATGGAGGGGAGCCCCAGGAGGCGACAGTGGGGCTCAGTGGGAGGGCAGAGGCTGCCAGGAAGAGGGTGGGGCTGCTTTGGGGTTCTGACAGGTACCCAGCCGGGTAGTCTAGAGTCCCTGTCCTGGGAGGAGGTGGGAAGGGAAGAAAGACAGGATGAGAGGAATGTTCAGGAGTTCCAGAGTCCCTAGTTGTGGCCCCAGGGCCAAGGCTGAGCCACTTCCTTCGCCTCACCATATCGGCAGTTTGGCTCTGACCCACACAGCCAGGGCTGGAGCCGAGTGGGAAAAGGTTTCGTGAAAGGGTGGTGCTAGGCAGGGAAAATCCCTCTTAGCAGCAGCATCTGGTACTTAACCCCAGGCACTCAAGACTGGACCCGGGCCTGTCCTCCCCTTACTGCACAGCTCAGGCTCCCCACAGCCTGTGTTGCCATGGGAACCTTGGAGGCAGAAGAGCTCTCAGCCAGCAGGCCCCTCCACCCTGCACCCTTCAAGGCAGTGTAGGCGCAGCCTCATGCTCCCTACCTTCCCTCGATGACGGTGATGACGTCATTCATCTGGATGTGCAGCTTGTCTGGCTCCTCAAAGTCCTGAAGCGCCCTCATGTCAGTGGGCTGGGCCTGGGGGCGGAGACCCGTCACTGCCCACCCTGGGACTAACCCCTGCTGGGATACCTCAGCCCCCATGGGCGGACCAGCCCTCACCTCCAGCAGGAAGTCCCGCAGGGCCACAAAGGTGGGTCTGTCCTCTGGCTTGTGAGCCCAGCACTGAACCATGACATTGTAGATATCCTGTGGGCAGTCCTCAGGCCGCGGCAGACGTTCCCCCTCCTTGTCAATCTTATGCAGAATCTGGCAGTGGGGTGGTGCGGTTTGAGCACAAGCAGAGCACCCAGCTCTTCACTTCCCACCTTCCCTCCAGCCCATGGAACAACTGGAGCTGTGGGCTGCCATGCCTGCACCCCAAAGAAAAGGTCTGTTTCCAGGAGCCTATCCCTGGGCCTCTGACCCTTATCCCCTGGCTGGGGCCTCTGGATAGGTGGCTATTACAAGGGAAAAGAATGTGAGCAAGCCCCAGTCTGCCCCTCTCCTGACCACTGGAGGCTCTTCTCTTTGTTCAACTATTTGAGAGGTCATGCAGACACCGGGCAAGGGGGACAGGAACTCCAGCAAATAAGAGCTAGTTCCAACAGGGCCAGGTTGGGAACCAGGAATCAAATCAACCCCCACCCATCCTGTAGGGAGCACATCTCCAGCCACTCACCTGACTGCCATTGAGGCCAATCCAGGGCTCCTGGCCATAGGTGAACATCTCCCACAATGTTACCCCAAACATCCAGGTGTCACTGGCATGGGAGAAGGTACGTGTCTTCAGGCTCTCGGGAGCACACCTGGCAGAGGCAGGGGTCAAAAAGAAGGCCCCTCAGAGCACACCCACCCACATCAGCCCAATGGACAGAACATATTCATTCAACAAACGTGTTGTTACCCTGTGTGCCAGGCTCAACAGCAGGTACTGGGACACGTGCAAAGTGAACAGGGACAGGACATGTTGACTATGGGGTGCACAGATGGAGAAAATCATCTATGTTCATGTCTTTATTCACATGAAGCCTGGGGTAGGAAGAGGGTGAAATTCCCAGGTCAGGGAAGCCAGGAGGTCAGAGGCTACAGGAGTTGGTGAGGGGATAAGATCTCAAGCTGTTTTCTAATTGTGGTGGGAGGATGACAATTTCCGGATTTGGGGCAGGATCCTGGGATTTGGGTCATTTCAGCAGGAAGGTGTGGGTGGGAAATTTGGATAGGGTCTGGGGAAGAACCAAAACGGGTGGAAATAGTTACACTCACTTCACCCAAACATCACACACTCCCTCCGGGACTCCCTTTTAGGTGAGGAAGAGAAATGTCACTGCAGTGAGGCCAGCAAAGGGGTATTCCGGGGTGGGGTGAGGTACAGAGCGACGGGGAAGCTGACCGAATGGAGTATCAAAGACTCTCTCCCGGGACTGGAGAGCTGGCCCTGCCACTCAAAGGGGGTGGGACCCAGGGACAGTCACTCAAGATCTCTAAAGCCTCACGGTCCTCATCTGTGAAATGCGAGTAACAATAATCTGCTTATTTCACAGTGCTATGATAAGGGGACCTTATAATTTACTATCCAAACCAGGATGCTTGGGTGTGAAGGAGGTGCTACTAATTACTCCAGAACAACAGGCATAACGTAATCTGAAATGTATGGTCACTCTACATCTAAAATCAGTTATTAGTTAGGGTGACCATGCATCCTGGGTGAGAAGGGTGCTCTGGCAAGAACTAGATCTACTTCTCCTGCCCCAAAACAAGGAGACTACACTCCTCTGGGTGCCTCCAAAGCCAGTGGACCACGATGGTGTCAGCACAGGATGAGTTCACACAGGAGCTAGGGTAGGGCCAGGTAGCACCTCAGTGTGCAGGTAAACATCCCTGGTCAGTCTACAAGGCCCAATATGGTCTGGCCCTGCCTGCAGCTAGCTCTACCTGAAACATACTTGCCAACCAGTCTGCCTGGCGAACTTCTGGTATTTCAGAAGCTTAATACGGAGTCCTATAGGATGCCTTTTTGAACTCCCGCAGCACTTATCCCCGTGCACCACAGTACCTGGTACATGGGCCCAGAGAATTCCTGGATGAATGAGTGAATGGACTGCGCACAAGAAGGGCATCCCAGACCCAGAGAAGACAAAGGCTGTTGTGGTTACAGAAGGCCTGGAAACTCTGAGGCCCAAGAGGGGTAGGACGGGGTCCAGGCCCTGTGAGCTGGCAGCACCTGTCCCTCACCAGGCAAAGGGCACCTTGCGATGCTCTTGCATGACATAGTGGTCGTCATTCTGGGGTAGTGCACGCATCAACCCGAAGTCCCCAATCTTGACCAGGTCACGGGTGGCCAACAGCAGATTTCGGGCAGCCAGGTCACGGTGAATAAAGCGCTTGGACTCTAGGTAGCCCATGCCCTCAGCCACCTGCACGGCGTAGCGGCTCAGAGTTCCCAGGAGGAAGTGGCCCTGGTGCTTGCGCAGCCGGTCCAACAACGATCCCAGCGGCGCCAGCTCTGTCACCTGAGGCCACGGAGGAGGCAGGAGGAATAAGCGTGGCTGAGCCCTGCCCCTCCCTCAGTGCCCCAAGCTGGATGCTCCTTCCTGGCCTGCCCTCGGGGGACCTCTGAGAGTTCTACAGCTTCCCAAGCCTCTCCCTCCAGGTAACGTGGGAACCTGAGGCCCGAGAGAAGCAACCCACAGAGGCTCAGATTAGAATTTCTAAAAACGAAACTCTAAAAAAAATAATAATAATAAAAATAAAAAATAAAAAATAAAAAATAAACCCCAGGGCCAGTCCCTCCTGTGAGTGCGACTCTCTGTCAATGAGCACAAACAAAATCCAAAGACAGACATGGGCTCCAGCGGACACAGTACCAGGCTGGGCCCCCTAGGAGCCAGTCTGCCACATCAGGTGGGGGACCAAAGCATCTTTGTCAGGATGGAGGGAGTAACCACCACACAGGCAGGAGGAGGGGCAGATCTGGGGGGCCCAGAGACCCTGCTTGAGCACCCTGCCCTCTGCCCACAGCACTCACCATCTTCATGGGTGGCGTGAGCACCACACCATAAAGACGAATGAGGTTTCGATGGTCCAGGGAATGCATGGCATTAACCTCCCGGATAAAGTCATCCATGGCCTCTGGCTGGCTTAGCACATCAGGCTTCAGGCACTTCACAGCCACACTCACCTGCCCAGAGTGGGGAGCAGAAGTCAGGACAGGTCCCAGGCCCCAACACTCTGAGCCAAACTGTCCCTCCCTCCAACTCAGCCCAAATATCCCTGCCTCAGATCTGCTCATCTGGATGGATGAGCATGTATGTCACAGGTGTCTGTGGGTTGGCTGGGAGAGGGCAGCCCTCCCTTGGGCCTCTCCTTCCTGGGGGAACGTCCAGATTAAACAGCAACCATAAAATAAGAGATGATCAGTATGATGACAGAATATTAAAATCTTGTAATAAGATGGAATATTAAAATATTTTTGGTGTTGAAGGAAAATGCTGTAAATATAATGACAAGAAACTAATCTATAGTGACAGAAATCAGAATAGTGCTTCCCTTGGATAAAGAGGATACTCAGGAGAAGAGGCAGGAGGGAGCCTTCTGGGTGCTGGAACTGCTCTTAATCATGATCTGGGCAGTGGTCACATAGGTCCGTGCATATGCAAAAATTCACTAAGCTGTCCACTCAAGAACTATGTGCTTTATTGTATACATGCTACCTATCTTTCTGGGGAAAATGTTTAGAATACCAAGATGAAAAGGCAAGGTTTTAAAAGTTGCATTCAAAATTTGTATCTTCACCAAATTCACCAAAATACCTGGGGTGAAAAAAAGCAGAAATGCTAACTCTGCTTCCCCTGAGTGAGGGGATTACAAACAATTGTTTTTTCTTATTTTTTAAAAAGTTTTCAAACTTTTACAGTAAGTAAATTATTTTCATAATTGAAAAAAGAAACAGAGGTGTCTAATTAAACCTGAGCATGTATTCCAGAGGAAGCCCCTTTCTTTTTTTTTTTTTTAAAAAATTTTTTTTTTTTTTCAACATTTTATTTTATTTTTGGGACAGAGAGAGACAGAGCATGAACAGGGGAGGGGCAGAGAGAGGGAGACATAGAATCGGAAACAGGCTCCAGGCTCCGAGCCATCAGCCCAGAGCCTGACGCGGGGCCCGAACTCCCGGACCGCGAGATCGTGACCTGGCTGAAGTCGGACGCTTAACCGACTGCGCCACCCAGGCGCCCCAGGAAGCCCCTTTCTGATCTGTGCCCAGCCACACACACCACCATCCCAGCAGAGGGGAAAGATCTGCCTCAGAGGGTAGAGTCGGGGAAGGCTAGGGTGGAGGGAGAGTGGGGATGGACTCTGCCAGAGTCTCTTAGAGGCCTGTCCCTCTGGCACGCCCCACATGACCCAGAAAGCTTACCGTCTTCCCCGAGGGGGCGTCCCACTCGCCCCTGCGCACCACGCCAAAGGAGCCATCTCCTAGCTTCTCAAAGAGATGCAGGTCCTTCTCCCCAATGAGGCACGTGAGGCTCTGCAAGGGCCCCTCCCCTGCTGGGCCCCCTGGAGTGGGCGAGGTCTTCCGGAAGGTGCTCTGAGAGTGATGAGGAGGGAACTCAGCCTCCAGTCGCTTTCCACTGAACACCTGTTTGAAGGCAGCCAGGGGCCAGATGGAACTCTGAGATCCCAGAGCCAGTCACTCAGTCCGGCCCACAGGATCCTCGGCTAGGCCTCGAGAGAGGTCCTGGCTTTGCCAAACTGCCAGGGGGCAGCCTGGCTGGAGGCCCACCCACCCCCCACCTCCAGATCACACCCTCAAACAGGAACCCACAGTCTCAGTGTGGCCTCAGAGTATGTGCCAGAAATGGACTGACAGGCATGTAGCTCATGACTGCCATAGCCCCACACCCAGCTGTAGGGTCAGGGACAGCCTAAAGCCACTCCAGACCCATCTTGTGCACCACCTGTCCCTCCCTATCCCCCTACCCAGCACAGACTCGGGCCCCTAACCAGAGCAGATGGGCAGGAGCCTGAGGGGCCCTCCACAAACACCTCCCTGTCCATTTTTAGCCTTGGCCCCTTCTCTGGGTTGCCCATTTGGCGCTGTCTGTCTCCACCCTCCCTGGGGAGCTGACTGCCCTTCATCCTGCCAGGGGAGAGGATAATTTGAGCCTGAGGTTGGACCGTGAATGTGTGCGGGGTGGGGGTGGGGGGGTATGTGCAGATGAAGCAAGGTCTTGCTGGGGAAAGGCCTGGGAAGACAGCTGGGCTTCTGGAGGAGCTAGAGCTGAGAGCTGGGAAACGAAGACTGGAGGTGACTCTGTGACCTGGGATGCGGAGGGAAGGGGTCAAAGGTCAAGGGACAGGAGGAAGGAGACCCTGAGTAGCACAGTTGGCCCCATTAGTCTGACTGGGGCTTCCGAAGCCTTGGCCTCAGGCTGCAGACTCTGTCCAGTTGGGCCCCTGCCCCTCAAAGGCTGGCAGAACCTTGTCCATATGGGGTAGGCGCGTTTCCAATCTGAGAGCCTCTTCTAGCCACTGCTCCGTCCTTCATCCTAGTAACTGAAATCTCTTATGTTTGTAAGCAGTGTTCAGCTAACAAGGCCCTTCACAGCCTTTATCTCCAGGGACCTTTTCCGCCGCCCCGTGAGGGGAGCTGGGCACAAGTGCCACCACCACGGTTTTACTGAAGACATGCCTCAAGTCTGGAGAGGTTCGCTGACTGACCTGAAGACCTCCTGCATGGTGGTCCAAGATCCCCAAACCCTGGCACACCGCACAGCTCCTCCCTCCTACCTTCACCCGCCCGACAAACTCAACCTTCCCTAAAACCTGGGCAAGGGACCAGGACAGTGTCCCCAGAAAAGGCCACAGGCTCCCAAGAGACAGCCCCTTTGCCAGATCGCAGCCAGGAAATCTCTGCTGCCCAATCCTAGTCCAGCTGTTCTGCCCTGCCCACCCCCCATCCCAGCCCTGAGGCCAGAAGTGGGGAGGGAAGGCCCCTGGCTGGTTCACTTCCTCTCGCATTGTCTTCCAGACAATGGGCAAAGTTCCACTGAGTCAGACCAGGGACTCACCACTCCACAGACCCAAATTAGGGCAAAGGGAAAGGGGGGCAGATTGTGGGGAAGGAAGTGGTCAGCAGGGCCAGATGACCAGAGAAACCCTCTGCAGACTAGGGAGGGCAGGGGGCGGGGGAGGGAAGCAAGGCAAAGATGTGCTAGGTCCAGACAGTCCCCACCACTCTGTCCTGGACACTGGCCCCAACACTCAGACTGAGCAAGGGCTCAAGTTACGGCACACTTGTCAACGGGTGCCTGCTCCACACCCAGCGCCACTGCACAGCGGGAGGGGAGGTAAAGCCATTGCCGCACACAGGCTACTCACGTGCCATCTCTGGTGGAGACAGACACTTAGCTGGGTGGTCCTACAAGTACCCTGCCCGGTAAGACCTTGGAGGAGGGAGGTCTGTACAAAATACAAGATCATACCTGCCTGGGAATGGGGGAGTTTCCTAGGACTAACATCAGAGCTGGGCCTGCAAGGCTGCCCACCCCATCTCGTTCCTCATTCACGCACCTTGCTCATCCAAGACTTGCGTTTGCACATGGCCTTTCTCCTCTTCACAGCCTCCCACAATCGCCGCTGTCCTGCAGAGAAAAAAGGGGAATCAAATGCTGTTAAGGTAGTTCACAGCCCCCAGGGCCCCCACTTGCATGCTTCCTTGGTCCCCCTGGGGTGGGCCCACCACTAGATACTGCCCAGCACAATGACACCAAGGGAACAGACCATTCTAACCAACCAGGGGCCATAGTTAGCCAGATGGTCACAGCATTCCACTTCTAGGCAGTGGTTCTCAAACTAGATGGAGGTGTTTAACCACCAAAATTGAACAGCAGTGGTCTTTTTCCAACCCTCAAGGGGGAAAAAAAGGCAATGTGTAGGATTTACCCAATTTTGTGTTTTTCTCCCGTAAAATTTTATTGTTACTAGCATCAGATACCAACTAAACTATCCAATCCCAAAGTAGTCTATGTCAGTGTCTAATTTAGCACATTATTACTTATTCAGCTATTTTAAGTTGAATATACTAATAAGTTTCTAATGCTCTACAAGGAATACCATGGCTTCTAGGTGCTATGATCACTACTTTTAGGATAAAAACTTATAGAACATATTTTTGTGCATGGGAAAGAGACAGAATGAGTTCAATTTAAAGCAGATCTTTGCGAGGGAGAGAGAAAAAGAGACAGATTAAGAGAAAATTTGCAAATCATCTGAGGGTTTTTAATCTTCTCTTCTCCATACAGATCTCTGGACATTGACCCCTCTGATGTTCAGAATGGTGAACAGAGCAGACTCAATGCCATGTTTATAAAGGAGGAGGAGATGGAGGAAATACATCCTACAAACGTCTGAACAAACCAAAAGCAGTATTTTTTCAATCCTGAGAATCCAGAGCTTTAAGTATGACTTCATTCTCCTCACACTCCAGTTTACCTTTACAACTGCTAACTGTTCTCATGCACTCACTGCGTGCAGCATCTACTGATGCAGCGAGAGTTCTCAGCTATGCCACCCCATGGAATAAGGAGGAGGGCTCTTCCAACTGGCAATCCTGAGGATAGAGGAGGTAAACGGTCAGTGGGGAAGCAACAAGCAAGGCCAATATCCCCACCTACCAGGCCGGCCCATGCCAATCTTCTCCAGGTCCTCATTCTTGACATACTCAAAATGGGACAGGCGGGTAACATTGAGGTCATCGCGGAGCCGCAGGAAGTACTGTTGTAGCTGCACCTCGGACAGCAGCTCCAGCAGCCAGCCCGTGCCCTCCTCGGGCTGCATGCTGCTGCTCCCCAGCCTCTGTGGGGAGGGAAGAATGGCTCAGGGACCAAGGGGTACAGGGAGGTGGCAGGGGACCCTGTCCTGAGTGTCCCAGGCTCACCCACATTCTACTAAACTGCTTCAAGGGAAGGACTCAAACCATGTTCTTGCTCCCCAAAACAAGTGTACAGAATGGCCTATACTCCTGTGCCCCTCTTCCTGCCAGCAACAAGGGTAGAATTAGGGCAACTGGAATACAGCCCAGGCCCTGGAGTCAGGGTCTTAAGCCCAAACTCTGTGACCTGTGGCTGAGTGATATGAGATCAACCTCTCTGCTTTCAGAGAGTCACAAGCCCTTTGAGAACAATGAAAACTATCGATTATGTTTCCAAGAAAACATACGCATTCTTACTCATGAAGTTTCCATTAAGAAATTGGGGGGTGGGGCGCCTGACTAGCTCAATCAGTCGAACATGCAACTCTTGATCTCAGGGTTTTGTATTGTAGAGATTACTTTAAAAATATTTTTAAAATATTTTAAAAAACAATTGGTGGGGGAGGGGTGCCTCCCCTCAGTCGATTAAGCATCCGACTTCAGCTAGGTCATGATCTCACGGTTCATGAGTTCAAGCCCTATGTCTGGCTCTGTGCAGACAGCTCAGAGCCTGGAGCCTGCTTCGGATTTTGTGTCTCCCTCTCTCTGCCCCTCCCCCACTCACACATTGTCTCTCTCTCTCAAAAATAAACAAACATTAAAAAAATAGAAAAAAAGGGGCGCCTGGGTGGCGCAGTCGGTTAAGCGTCCGACTTCAGCCAGGTCACGATCTCGCGGTCTGTGAGTTCGAGCCCCGCGTCAGGCTCTGGGCTGATGGCTCAGAGCCTGGAGCCTGTTTCAGATTCTGTGCCTCCCTCTCTCTCTGCCCCTCCCCCGTTCATGCTCTGTCTCTCTCTGTCCCAAAAATAAATAAACGTTGAAAAAAAAAAATAGAAAAAAAAAAAAAAACAATTGGAGGGGGGGTGCAGGGTCCCTTGAGACCTATCCATAGGCTCCTTGGACCTGGTGGACCCCAGGGAAAGAAAGCACTGTGGACTAGATGAGCTCTAGCTAAGTTTCACCCAATGCCTGACACCACCAGAGGCTGTCCCCTCACCATCCCACAGACCACTCAAGTGCCCTTAGAACCACAGTGAGTGGAAGACAAGAGGCAGGCAAAGGCTGGCTGGGGTCAGCTTTCAGATGCCAGCTCAAAGAGGCAGCCCTGCTTAGCTCCATCAACAGTTGTCACCATAGACTACTGCCCAATGTCATCAAAGCTTTTAATTTTTTCAAGAAATACTGGAAATCTGAATCTATATGTGAAATCTGACCACTAAAATTCTTTTTGAAAAGGTAATATATGCACATGGTAAGATATTCAAAAAGCACACAGGAGCCATAAAGTCTCATTCCCTGCCATACTGCACAGCCACCTAGCCCCCTGTCCCCAAAACCAGCTGCCATAAATGACTTTTACACATCCTTCCAGACTTTGTTTCGCCCCCCCACACACACATTTACCCATTACCCACACCATTCTGTTCCTTGTTTTCACTTAACATTACATCTTTCTCTTGACTTATTAATTATATCGACTAATTCAAGTTTGAAATACACACACACACACACACACACACACACACACACACACGCTGTGCAAGCCAAGCAAAACATATGTGCAGGCTATAATCAGCCAATAGGCCACCAGTGAGTGACCTCTGACCTACACTCTGTGCGGTCCAGAGAAAGAGGACAGGGCACCCATAACACAAAGCAGCCTGGCCCACCGGACACCAAGCCCATCCTTGTCCAAGTAAGACCCAACAGAGCTGAGAGCTTGTCCAGGCCGGCCCCTGACTTGTGTTCAATCCCCACGGAGGAAAACCCACAAGAAGGAAAAGGCCAGCTGCCCCTCGACACCCCACAAGTCAGAGGTGGCCTTGGCCTCCAGCTCTCAACACAGGCTCACCAAGAGAAGCCGGCGCTTGCAGCCCAGGCGGAGCATGAGCCTCCTGCCCCCACAGTTCCCAGCGGTGTTGCCAGCCTAGCAGCAGGACATCAGAGCTTCCCAGGCAGCTCAGGGCAACGCAAAGAGTGACAAACGGGAATGAGAAGCCCTCGGTTCAAACCCTGGCTCTTCCACCAAGGCAGCTGGGCCAGAGGGGGGTTTTTAAACTTCAAGCTGTGATCCTTTACCTAGATGGTTCCCATGAGGTCTGTGCAGCCTCCTAGGGGACATTCTTGGATGTTGGGGGGCCACTAGTGGCATTTAGTGGGTGACTGGGGGACAAGAATGTAAGTTATCCTGTAATGTGCAGGGGAGTCTCACACATTGTCCCAAATCCCACACAACTTAATTCGTGCGGGTGAAAAACTGGTTTATAAACATCTGAACCTAGAATCGAATTCCATCTTAACATGAGCAAAAATGTATTTTTTGGTTTTTAATACACACTGAATCTTCCTAGAACAGAACTATGGTGTAAAATGAGGGAACACTGACCTTTGCTTTGTTCAGAACTTAGCAAAAGTTGTTCACTAATCAGAAAAATGTCACTGAAGGCAACCTGCCCTTATTATTTCCAAACCCCACTCTCGGTCAGCACTTGTAGACGCTGCCTCCACGGTGGTCCTCCTAGAGGTGTTAGCACTGACTACCTCATCACGTCAGAGTGTACAGACATACCAGAATACATGAAATGCTATCATCACTTTCCTTTTATTTCTCCTTTATACTACAGGTGACATCGTGTTGACTGACTACACACACACAGTAAAAAAGTTATATTTTTATTATTTTTATTTAAGAAGAACTATAAAAATAACTCTAACATTTCAATTACACTTATTATATGCCAGGCACGGTTCTAAGCGTTTAGCTGTATTAACTCACTTATCCTCAACAAAACCATTTGTTACACACAAGGGAGTGCATGGACGTTAAGAGGGCAGGGCACTGCTGCTTTCCAGAAGAAGGCCCCAAAGGTGCACTGTGAAAATCATTGACCTAGGCCGTGTCTCTCCGCAGCCTGGCCAGGCAGGGCCAGCCAGCACTTCCACCATCACTACCCTGTCCCTAGAGCAAAGCAATTGCACCCACTACATGCCCCACGATGTGGCCTGCCAGCAGGGCAAGCAGTTTGAAGTCTCCCTCCTCTTCTTGCCCAGTCTCCAAGTCTCAGGGTTCTAGACTCCCCACTCCCACCCTCCTCTGGGGGCAACTGCTCAAAGCCATGCCCTGGGTGGTCAGGACTTGGGGAGACACACAGCCCTTCCCCTGAAGCTGTGCAGAAAGCACAGTCTGGCATGTTCCTTTTCCCTGAGACACCAGCTAACAGATCTCCCTGCTCAGCTGGACACTCCCCTCCCTGCTCACCAGCCCCAGGGACAGGGTTGCTCTGAGTAGGAGTGTGTGGGGGACAGGGAAGAACACTGGGATCCCAGTGAGAAGAAAGCCATCAGGGTCTTAGTTCTGTCTCTACCACCAGGGTGACCCTGGATAAGCCCCTTCCCCTTGGCTAAGTGCCCCTTCCCCGCCAAGTTTCTTTGTCTCTGAAGCTTCCCCCCCCCCACCCTGCTCACAGTCTTCAGCTGTGCGTGTGCCTGGCCCCCAGCACACCCACAGTCCCACACCTGTGTCTGACGTGTGGCGTGGCACTCTCCAGACACGCACATTTCCCACATACACTTTGCTAACATGCTCACCAACCAGAATGCAGCAGCTGAGGGGAGAGGCCCTGGTCTCAGAACCCCTATCAAGCCCTCAGGCATTCCCGGTCCTGTCCTCTGCTCCTCGGTGAAGTGCTGGCTCTGAGGGGCTGACCCAGTCCCCAGTCAGTCCTACCCACATCCCCAGCCCCCACTCACTGTGTACAGGCGTCGCCGTAGTCTGGCCAGGAGAGGGAAAGAAAGCTCCAGGCCAGGGAACCGACGGGCTGCTGGCATCTCCACGGAGCTGGACCCCCTGACTGGGACCCTGGGACTTTGGCCCAAGATATGAGGGAGCAGAGCCTGTAGCTCCTGAATTTAAGGTTCTGCCCAGAAGGGAAGTTGGCCAAAGACCTGCTCCAGGAGTCCCCCAAATCCCACAACAGGAGTGGGAAATGGGACAGAAGAAGAGGGTGGGCTCCTTTTCTTTGCTGCACAGCTGTTTCCACAGCTGGCTAGTCTGGCAGGAGGTGAGCTCTTCTCTGGGCTGGCTGAAGCCTGGGTCCTCTGTCCTGTTTCTCTGACTTCTCTTCAGTGCAGTGGTCACAGCTCAGCCCTACTCCCTGGCTCCCCCGCCTGACTGCCCTCCCTCCCTTGTCCCTCCCTCCCCGGCTGAGCAGCTCTGACACTGGCTGAAAAAGGACCTTTCTGAATCACTGCCAAAAGGGTGGCGGGAATGAGGGGACTCTTCCTCCCAGCCACCCGCGCTGGCCCCCCTGCCTCCCCATACACAAGGCCCCCTGTCTTTGGCTTCCACCCCAGCCCCCATAGCTGCAGACAACTCTTGGGATTTTAGGGTGGGGGCTATGTGAATCAAGCAGCAATGTACAAAGAGGGGCTACAGGCTCCTACATGGGCTTGTCTGGGGCTGTGGGGGCTAGAACACAGCCTGAGTTGAGGGCCTGGACCCCAGACAGACATTCCTGGGCCCTGCAGGCAGACCCTTCAGAGACCCTCCCCCATCTCCCAGTCCCAGTCTTGGCTGGGCGTCTCCTGGCTCAGGCCCTAATGTGGCCCTGTTACCCTGGTGCCCGACGGAAATAGGAGGCCGGCAGCCTGCCAGAGTGGGGCAGTCCAGCCAAGAGCGAGGGGGGTTGTGGGGGTGAGGAATCTCCACCCCCTCCCCTGGGGTTGCCTTGCACTGCCCACAACATCCAGGGTGCCTCCTCCCCCAGACCAGCTAGCTAAGATCCAAAGCCCCTCTAAACAAACAAATATGCCCCTAGACCCTGCTGGGATGTCCTCACTCCAAAGCAATAGGATTCTAGGCTATAGGATGTTTCTTGTATAGCAC